AATAGACTTTGGGATTATGAGGTAATAATTGCGATTAGTAAATCAGTTCAGTAATATTGACGTATTTGAGTCTAATGGATTTGAGTATTTAAGTATTTTAATGAATAGAGATAACTCTATTTCTTTTGCGAACCCGACTTTAGTCTGGTTTTGTCAAGCAAACTCTTTCTAAAATTTCTTAAATTTATCCCTGATATTATGAGTATTAATAAAGATAAGCAAGTGGCAAGTGTCGATGACAAGGTTCTTGATGACGTGCTTCTTCAGTTAGTGATTGTGAAATAATACAGAAGAGTGTCCAAGCGAATTTTGAAGCTAATTTTAGTCGTATGTTTGTGGACGTGTTAAAATTTTTGTGTTACGAGTTGGGTGTTTCTGAAACCGGTTCGAAACAGGACTTGGTGAATCGTTTGGTTAGTGAGAGTAAAAGAAGGGAAGTTTCTGATGAGTACAATACTGGAAAAGGAAAGGTGTCAGACGGTAATGATGGTACGACTGCGGCTATGTTCGGCGGTTCTGATGTGTCAGATTGTGAGCTAAAGAATGCTCCTACAAGCAGTGCTACGGAAAAGAGGTTTGACGGAGGAAGGTTTAGTTACAACTTAATGGGTAATGACCAGCCTCAACATATTTCTTGGGCATCGAATAAGGCCCCTTGGCCCTCTGAGTTAGAGGATAATATTTGGAAGAGACGTGAACTTTCTAAGGCTAGGAATCAGTAGGAATATAACAAATGGTGTAAAGTGGGTTCCTTATTGGACAAGGCATTGCTTTCAGGCGACATTGAATATGTTTATTTGGCTAGGCAAGTAGGGCTTGAGAGAGCTTATGTGGTCATGGTGGCGGATGAAGATGGGTGAAATGTAGCAGCTAAGATGGTGTCTGAAGATAATGACTCTATGGTGGATTTGTTTGGAGGTAGACGGGAGAAGGCTAGACTGGCTGCTCAACGTTTTTCATCTACAAGGAATAAGAGAATGAGGATTACCCAGGATCATAATTTTGTAAAGAATGACTCCCAGGAGAAGCAACAGGTTCAATTTCCATTGTTTCAAGGAGTCCAGCCAGTCATTCCGACTTTGATTCAGCCACAGTCATTAGTGCAACTGGTGTGGTAACAATCCCCTTTTCACACCATGGGCATCTCTGTTATTGGTTTGGAAGGTTAGTGGAATATGAGTACTTCTCAAAGTTTGGTTAGTCCATCACTTTCTGAGCAGCAAGTGTCACAAGGTATTTTCACTTGTAATTCTGTTAATAGCCTTCAGCTTCAACAGTTTAATGAGAGGTTTCGGTTATCCTCTGGTAATGTAGGTGTTAATAGTAAGGTTAGTTTAAGGGAGATAGTGTGCTTTTTATGTGAAGGCAAGGGTCATTATGCAAATGAGTGTAACTTTAAGAAACATTTGAATATGTTCTTTTGTGAAGACAGTACAAGGGTCATAAAAAGTTGATTACACTCGGAAACAGAATGGAAGAAAGGATGTGAAATGGGAGATAAAGATTGATGCACAAGCAGTGGCAGGAAAATTACATTCACAAGTGGCAGTATGATATTGGAAAGAGGTAATAAAACCAGTATTAATTGTTATAAGATGGTTGGAGAAGAAAATCCTGTTGTTTCAAAAGGGGTGATGAGGTTAATAAGACAATGAGTTTCAGAACACAAGCAGTTTTTAGAAAAGAAAAGCTTGTAGATAGAGCAGGAGTTGGATCATTTGAAGGAGACAGGAGCAATAGAATTTGTGGAGGAAGGTTTATTAAGATTGAAATTTTTGTTGAAAGTAAGTTCAATATTTGTAGTTCTAAAACAGGATAAGAAAAAATTCAGGTTAATAATCAATCTTAGAAGATTAAATTTGACACTTTTAAGAAAGAAATTCAAGTTTGACGAAATTGAATTCTTTTTATAAACAATAAGAAAGGGATAGTGGGTCATAACCTTCAATTTGAAAGAAGGTTATCATTAAATAATGATAGATAATATAGTACAGAGGTTCTTTGGTTTTGTTTTTAACAAAAGATGATATTTTTACAAGGTTCTTTCTTTTGACTTAAATCAGTTATTATGGATTTTTGTAAAGATAATAAAAATCATGGTAGAAAATTGGAAAGTACAAGGAATTTTTTGTAGAAATTACCTTGATAATGTCTGAGTAGCATATTCATTAAAAGAGGTTTTGTTAAGACTGTAGAAAGAAGTGATAGGAAAGGATTTAAAAGGTTGTGGTTAAGATACAGACAATAGAAAGGGTAGTTGGGAATTTACTCAGAAACCCAAGTATTGCAGACTGATCATTGATTTACTGAAAGGTTTTGTAATAGTTCTAGAGAAGAAGGTTATTGATACATAAGTTATTTGGAATCATTGTTAAGAAGAATAGTAGTTCAATTGAGAAAATTGATTTTAGTTATAGACAAGTTGCAAAGTTTAGCAAAAGCATTTGCTTTGTGAAAGTAAAGAGCTTAGAGTTATACAGATTGATAGATGCAAAAAATCATTTATAGAACAAATAGGACAAGTCAATAGAGTTATTTTTCCAAGCATTAGAGAATATAAATTGGTTAATGCAAAACTTAAAAGAATGGAATTGCTATCTAGTATAGAAATTATTCAGATTGAAGATAGTGTATATAGATGCTTTTTTGATAAGTTGATGTGAGGTGTTTAACAGCTTAATAGTGAGAGAAAATTGGTCTTAAAAATTAACAATAGAGGTAATTGCATAGTTGGAGGCAATTGCTATATTGCTAGCTCTGTAGATCTTTAGGGGGCTGTTAAGTTAATCATGTGTTATACTAATAATAAACAATAAGGTGATTTTAAAAATAGTACTAGCTAGGGGTTTATTGGATTGGTTAAAGGATATTGTACATGAAATTTAGAAGGTATATCTAGAAAATAATATAGAGATTTTTTAGACGAGATGGATTCCCAACAAAGAAAATTTGGTTGATATGTTTACTAGAATGCAGGACTTAGGAATTGATCATTAAGGACAGAAATAATAAAAATGCTAAAAAATCATTAGGGCAGTTTCAATATAGACAGATTTGCAGATCATCTGAATGTGAAGTCAAAAAGGTTTAATTATTTGCATTTCTGTTCAGGTTTGAAAGCAGTAGATTGCTTTATGCAAGACTGAAAGGGTCTAGTAAATTATTTATATCTGCTTTTTACTATAATATATTGGTCATTAACTTATGCAAAAAAGTGTGAAACACTAATAATAATTATTGTTCTAGTGTAAGTAGCAGTATTATGATGGTTAATAAATTTAAATACACAAAAGAAAGAAATAAATTTGTCATCTTTAAAGAAAATTGTTTTTTTAGAACTATCAGGATATCTAGAATTATGCAACAACATCAATTGGTGTTTGAGAGCAATTTAGATAAATTGGTGTAAGAGCTTGTAAGGCAAGCTGAGTTTTTAACAAAGAATGTCATTAGTAAAACATATAAAAGGAGATTAAGAAGAGTTTGACTAATTTTTGAAAATTTTATATCAAAAATTAATTGTATTCTCTATTCAGCTTTAGATATAATAGTAAAAATATTTGTAGTTTGGCTAAAAATAATAGTGTAGTTCTAAGATAGCAAGCTGTTTGACAGCTATTTTCAGATTATATAAAATTAAGCGATTGATAAACCCAACAAAAAATAGTGCAATGTAATATTTAGTTAGCAGCATTAAAAAATAAATAGCACAAGATGCAGAAGCAAAATAACCAAGAAATCTATTTCCAATACAGGCTATTAAGTACTATTTAGATTTCTCTTCAACAAATGTAAGTTATAAATATTGGATTAGAAACTTAGCATTAGTAGTATTAGAGTTAGAACTATAAAATTATTAGGTGAACTCTGTAATTTGAGGAAGAAGAATCTTAAATAGATAAATAATTTGCTATGGGTTCAAGTTAATAAGTCGAAAATGGATTAACTTGCTAAAGAAATTTTCATTTAGTAGAAAAATCAACTAGCAAATATTGTCTAATTGGATTAATAAAGAAGTATATTAAAATTAGACCAGAATCCAATAATGAGTTCCTTTTTTTATATCAAAAGCAGGTTACAAATTAATCGTACTAGCTATTTTGGCTATAGTGAAGTGTATAGTAAATTATGCAGGTATTAATGAAAGGTTTACTGCTCATAGTTTGAGAATTGGTAGTGCTATAACAATGAAAAATGGCTGTCTATAGAATAGATACAAACTATTGGTAAATAGATTTCTGATGCTGCTAAGTTATATTTGAGAGCAATAAAAACAGCAAATTTATGTGATTTAAGAATTATGGGTTTTAAGTAATAATAATAATAATTTTTTTTAAAAAAAGAAGAAGAAAAGAAGGAAAGAAAATAAGTCAATTGATATTTTGTAAATACCTGTTTGTTTTTTTATTTTAATTACAAGTGAATAAGAAACAAAACAATAAAGCTACTTGATATGATAGTATCAAGTCAGCTTTTGTCTCAAATCAGTCATATCAAGGCATATGACATGCCCAATTACAGTTACATAAGTAATTTTAGAATGATGTGTTAATATATTGTTAATATTAGTAATAAAATAGACTTTAGAATTATAAGAGATAACTCTATTTCTTTTGCAAACCTGACTTTAGTTTGGTTTTATTAATCTCTTTCACCTTACTTATAACTATTGAAGGGTATTTTTCATTAAATTGAAGATTGTAAATAGATGGCCTGTCAGGACAACAGTTATGTAAAACTTTATTATTAAATTAGTCAACCAAAATTCAGCATAGTATATCATAGACAAGTTATAACCTGTTATGATGACAATTATTTTAGAATTTAAAGTAAAAAAAAAAAAAATTGTATTTGATTTTATAAATTTGCATAAAGTACTTAACAGTAGAAAGAATAAAACCCATTTGTTTTTTTATCTTAATTACAAGCAAATGAGAGACAAAACAATAATATTTTTTGATTTTGGGCCACTATATATATAAATTTTTATTTTGGATACTTATTTGTAATTATTTTTATTTTATATATAAATTTCCTTTTTTTGATTTAACATTTAGCAATACATCATATATTATTTTAAAAAAATAGATTGTTTTACAAAATCTGTGTTTTGGCTATTTTGTATGATCTAAAATATAACCTGTGCTAAAATTTATCCAAATTTTTGAAAGCTCATTGCAAATCTATTGTTAATCTAAAATTTGGCCCATGCCAAAATTTATCTGAATTTTAGAAAAAACTCATTTTGAATTTTTGAGATGTTATACATATATGCAATTAATGTTTATTACAAGTTTAACAATTTTGAATATATAACCTTAGTGTAACTTTTTAAGATAACAACTATTGCAATATTCAAATGCAATATATTTAAATATTATACTTATTTCTTACTATATAATCCATATTTAATAACAGGTTGAATACTAGTAAATTTTAAAAATTAATATTAAATATTGATTTTAAATATTTAAGAAGTTTTTAATAAGGTAGGGTTTGTTGAATTTCTAAGCAAAATTGTAAAAAAGATTTTTAATTCTAATAATTAAAATTAACTTAATAAATTTTAAAATATTTTAAAAAATATAAAGATATACAAATTGCTAATTATACAAAGTATTATTAATAATAATATTTTATATAACTAGTAATTTAGGCCATTCTCAAGCATCTTAATTAATTAGACAAAAAGTGTTAGTAAATAAATTTTACTTTGTAGAAAATATTTTAAGAGAATCAAAAGTGTTTACTATTGTAATGAATAATTAAATAAACATTGTAGTTTAATAAAGTTTATTATATAATTAATAAAATTTTATTAGTAAAAATTATTATGCAAGTTTATCATTTTAATTTACAAACATTTAATAGCAAACCATCTTTTTTTTATCTCTGAGTAGCAAAATTTACAATTAATAAAGTATTCAAAGAGATTACACAAATACAGTAATCTTAGTATGCAATCTTATTATGCAACAACTAAATGTTAATAAACTAAATATAGTGATAATGACATTTGATAAAATATTAATATATTGTTCAAGTATCAATTAAAATTCTTATTTTGATTAATTGTAGTAAATGAGCTCATTACATTTATTAGCTAAATATGTAGAGTATAATATTTAAACAAACTTTAATTACTTTATAATTTGCATATTCAAAAATTCTATATAAATAAAATTACAATTGTTCACTATTACAATCACTAGCTAATCAAATTGAGGTTGAGGCTTGAGAACTCCCTTAATCTCAAATATTTTGAGATTTTTTAAAGTTAATTTTGATGATTTAACTGTTATTAAACTAAAAATCTTTTTATAACCTTATTTAAAAACTTAACAAACTTTAACTTAAATAATTTTAATAATAATTTTTTTAAAAAAATAAATCTATTTGTTATTGTTAATAACAATTACTAAAGTATAGTTAGCTAATCAAATTACAAGAAAAGTATAATATATAAAATACAAATTTGAAATTTATTATTAGTTATAGTTTTTTTTTACTATAGTAAAAAAAAACTTTAATATTATTATAGATAAGTTTTAAAAAATTTTTTTATACTATATATTTCACTATTACTTTTACTAATAGTTTTCTTTTTTATATTATTTTTTTATTATTATTATGTTTTAGTTATTATTTTAATCAACTATGTTATTAGTTTTTTTAACTTGTATTTTTGCTTTTTATATTAATTGTTCTATTTTAATTCATCATAAAATTTATCTTTTATTAATAACTTTTTACTAATTATATAAACTTCTTTAATCTTTTGACCTATTTATAAATAAAATTATAATATGGAACATTATTATAAATTACAAAATTGCTGGTCACTGTATTTGTATTGAGTAACTTAATAATTTGTAAATTTTTTGTTTTTAAATTTTTTGCTCAATTTTGTTTTAGTTACATTATAAAAACAAGTTATCTTTCTTTAAAACTAGTTTTTTTTAGCAATTTTAATATAATGAATGAAACTCAAGAAACATCAATTAAAGTCTATAGTAATATAGCTATCTTACAACTGAAAAACAGTTGCATAGTCAGAAACCATCCTAATTACTCATTGGCAATGCTATATAGAACAACAAGTTATTCGTTTATATTCACTTCCACTGATTCAATCACAAATATGTCCAGGTTACTCTCTTAATTCTTACACAATTGCCAACAAATGCATAATCAACATTCCTATCAATCTCTCTTCTAGATTCTTTGGTCGAGTCAACACATACAACAAAACCCTCAACTTCAATTCTAACCACCTTGATCTTATGTACTCTATTGCAATTCGACACCCTATTCAAATCTCTAATCCCCCTAATATCAACATTACAACATACTTAATTCCAACAATATTTGAACCCAGTACTTTAACAAACAACCTTTAACAAATCGCTAACTACAATGCACAACTATCA